GAGCATGTAGAGGAGACAAGCAGGTAAGTAACCAAATCCACAGCCTTCCAAAAAGCGCCCTAACCACCAAAGCTCAAACTGTATTGGTGCATCCTCAAGGTTTCTTTCTATATCGCACCAATTTCTTTTGGTATAACACACATTCAGGAAGACAAACGACCAAGTAACAAAGAATCTTCTTCCCAAACTTCCATTGGCACTATAGAAATCTCTTCCTCATTATAGTAGCCATCTAGCAGTGTCTGTTTTTTGTTGGCTTTTTTTTTTCCCCATACGATTTTTTTTTTTTTTTTAAGAAAATATGTAAATAGGCAAACTATGGAAAAAAATCTGCATTAAGAGACATAGAGCCCAAATCCTCACAGTTACCATTCCCAATCATCCTTTCCCTTTTCACAGACATATCAGAAGATACTGCTGTCCGCTGCATTTCACCCAACAGTTTCCAGCCCTCTCAACCTCAGCTTGCTACTCATGCTGCCTACAAGTACTCTCTGGGGATCCTCTTCATTTCCAAGATCCTCTCCCAACATCTGCACTCAGCCACAGCCACATCCAGCAACCTTTCCCCACTAGAACTCAGAAGCAATACTCCCTTCTTCCTTCTGTTGAAGGTCTGGTTTCTTGGTAAATAATTAGTGCCTGCAGACTGATTATCTCTAATGCAAAGAAATACATTTGCTTTATTAAGTAATACTGCTCTATTCCTATGAATAAGAAATAAATTTCATCTCAATAAATTTCACAATAAATTTCATCTCAAGAATCCTCTTTGATAAAACAGAAGCTATTAAAAACTACATTGGCTTTGAAAAGGTGTTCTACATCACCTCAAGCCTTTAAAAGAGAGGAGGAAGGAGAGAGAAAAGAAAAGGATATTTGATTTGTCATTCAGCATTTGTTACCTATTTAAAAGCCATCATCCACATGTATTCTTTCAAACTAGAGACAGCCACAGGGGTAAAAGCAGTAACTCCATATTCTCCTAAATCTAAAAACTACTCATTTTTCAGTTACCATCTTCAAATTCTCTCTTTTTGTAAGCTGTTCACCCACTTCTAAATAGCAGCCAAGAACAAATTAGAGCTTCTTGTTGCTTTCTTTTCATGCTGAAAGATGGTGACACAGGCTAAGCAATTATTTGAATTTTAGAAATATAAATTTCTGATTTAAAATATTGTTAAACATAAAAATTAAATAAGCAGTCTACAAGTTTTGCTCCACCCCTCTGATTTCAGACAAAGATCTGAAGCCTCTATTTCTTCTGAAGGCAAGCGGCCTTGAGTGACACCCCCTCCATTTGTGATTCCCTTTGCTGCCCGTTTGCGTTACTGAAACATATCTCAGTGCTATTTGTAGTCTTACCTTGCTGTAGTCAATCCTCACAACACAGTACATATATTCAAACTGCCTGAGATATGCACCCCCCTGCTCTCCCCTACCCCCTTAAAAAAAAGTGAGATTACAGCACAAGCTTTATCTCACTACATGGTCCTCAAGATGAGAGAACAATTGAAGAAACTCTAGAATGCAGCCAGCTTACACACATCTCAGACAGGGAGCAACAGAAAATAAAAACCAAACAATACTTTCCTAGGGCAAAACAACAGAACTGCAGGCCAGAATGCCTCTCAAATGGCAGAGATCTCCTTACCTTAGGGTCCTCTTATCTGCAGCATCAGCACAGATACCTCAGGAACACTCCGTGTCCCTGGGCCCATATGCACAGCAGATGCACCTGCCAATCTACCGGGCACTGCAGGCAAAGTGACAGGTCTCTCCTTCCTTGGTCTCTGCCAGACAAGTCATACTCTTATCTATGATAGGAGACAACAGAACATGGCTCCTTCTTGTAAGTTCCTGAACTTACTGGCTTCTCAACGCGATCTGTGAAGACAAGCCCCACTCATCCACAGCACAGCTACATGGAAGTCAGCACAGTGAGAGTTCTGTCTCTAATAGTCACTGCCCTGCATGTCAGTAACTATGATCACAAGTCATATCAGAGCTGGAGACAGATTGTTCTCTGGCAAGATGAACTAACTCCCCATGGACATAGGAACACCACAAATTCTCCCTCTCTGCCACTGGAACTGTCTTGTCAGTCCTCTCTGAAATAAATCCCTACAAGATCACTAACCTCCTTTTTAGCTTAGAAATAAAAGAGCCCAATCAGAACTTCACTCCTATTCAAAGGGTAGTAAGTTTAGAAATTACAGAGAAAAAAATAGTGCTTTTATTATCAAGTTGTATGACTGACATTAATCTGATATTACAGCAGTAGGCAGCAGTAGAACATCATGAAGTGGACAACGAGCAAAAAAGCTCAGAAAATCCAGAAACAGACAGAGCAACTTAGAAGATTTGCTCCAGTTCTGTTCAGAGCTGGTAGCTGAAAGGCCAGAAAGTACCATTAGTATCAGTGCTGCCATTACCAGCCTTGGAGCTGCAAAGGAAAACAGCATTAACAAGACCTCCTTGTCCCTCACAGGCTTTATTTACCAAATGCACAGCTGAGACACAAGTCCATCAGCACATGCAAAGTATTTTCACTTCCTCCCAAAAATTCACCAACTCATGTGCCCAGCCAGGGCAGAAGGGGCTTGCAAGTCTTGAAGCCATTGTAAATCTTTCCTTTATACAAGTAAGCTGAGAAGCCAGTCAGGAACTATAAGTTGACCAAATTCCTCTATCCACCAAAATCTCCCATTTGAAATATCATAACACATAGTACCAGCTATGACAGCTATGAAATTCCCGTCAAAGATGCACAGAATTATAGAAACCAGTACTATTATTGTTGCTACCGGAGAAGAACATTTTGATTACCTTGTCCTTTACAGACACCATGAAATACTCACTATAGTACCATCTTCTCACAAACAAAAGCAAAGCAAACAGGAATTCCTCCTGCTGTTGAAAGTCTCCCTACAAGTCTCAGAAATGCCTCCAACAAGAAAGAAAAAGAAAAAAAAGGTATATCTGTTTCATGACAGTCAACAGCTATCACATCTTTTTGCAGGGCAAGATTCCAAATTAAAATTCACAATCTCAACTTCAGTTCTCTCTTCTTATAAGACCCGGACCTCTCTGAGCTTCAGATTGATGCTCATGTCAGTGTTCATCACCGACATTGAGGCATACACTTTTGCTCCCTATCATGCTGGAAGCAAAAATAATCTTTTCCTTTTAAAAGGGCCGTGCAATTTCATCCATTACCAAAGCAGCTTAGGCACACACTAAGGATGTGCAACGCACAAGCCCAAATCACACATCCTCCTTATAATAATGAGAGTGCCCCTCACCTCATGCTTAGCAGAAGGAGAAAACATAGCTTCTCTTGAAGGGTTTCCTCTCTGCAAGGAGGAATTTGAGACTCACTGGAAAAAAAAAATGCTGCTATTCCGTACGTAGCTCAAGAGACTTTTCAGAGGCAGAAAAGAGCAAGACACCATGATTTCCTCTCTGGCTTTGCTCTAAGACGAGCTTTGGGAAGCTACTGATCAGCATCATGAGCCTCTCTGCAGCTGATTTGCAGATAACCTCCTTATAACAGTCTCAAATCAAAATCTGTCTCTCAAAAGCAAACTGCAGGAGTGCTGAACCCTTGACTTACAGTCAGTCTGGTGAAATTTAGGTATTTGGCTGGTTTGGTTTACTTTTCTTCATTTTATTATGAAGTCTCCAAGCCACTTATGGCTTAATTACATCAGTGTCTATGAGGATCCACTGTCAAGGAAGCAGGTCTGGACATACGATCCAAATAGACATCTTTAAGGCTCAAAGCCCAAAAGACAAAGAATAAGAACTGAAAAATAGGCTTTTCTTGTCCAGTTCTGTAGTGTTTAGGACAGTGCTGACACCACTGGGGACAGGCTTGCTAACCTCACCTCCTGTTTACTGGCTACAGTTTTATGCCGGGCACTAACCAACATGCTGCAACAAAATCATTTTTACACACTAACTACACACAAAATGGAGGGGGAAAAAAAACAACAAAATCAACCAAGAACCACAATTACCCCCTCTGGATAAGAGAAATAAGTGAGGTCAAACCACTCTGCAATTGGCAGCAATAACCAGTACATCTCTCACTGAGCAAACCCAGAGCTCAGCAGTGTTCCAAGACAATGCTCATCATATTTTTGGAAAGTAAGCAGTTAGGTGATATGAAATACTATCAAGAGGAAATAAGTAGCGGAATGTATTACTGCATACGTATTGATTTTAGCACTACTCAAAATCAGACAAAACCAAAACACTGACAACAAGTCACGGCCATCAGCAAAGACCTACTGACATTACCCAGGAGAACCGAGGGCATTGGTAACTATTCCCAATGCCCTCAACAGCTGCAGCCTTCCTCTCTGCTTTCCCAAGCAGTGCTAACCTGACTCATCAAATGGGACACCACAACTTTGTTCGGCAGGAAACGCACACGTGTTCCTAACAGTACACTGTAATCACCTTGTAGGAACGTGAAGTAGCAAGTGCACCCATCTGCACACCTTCATGAAGTTACACAGAACACAGCAGTAGTTTACTACCCTATACTGCAAGTGCACAATTCCGTACTGGAAGAGAACAGGCAGGTAAGACAGCACGTAGCTACACTTGCTTACAGCGTGAAGTGCTTCCGAAGGATTCGTGTGAGATCCGCAGCACACAAGTGCTGAATCATCGTAGTACAAAGCAGATACTCAGTAAAACTTTGGTAAAGCACTCCACATGCATTTCTATGATAATAAGAACCGGTCCCATTACAGTTGGGAATAAAGCTATAACCGACGCATTTTCCCCCATATAATTTCTGATAGCAAAGTAATACACAAAACGCTCCGGTTCCACTTGCGACAAGCACCTCGTCTTTCAGAGCGATCACTGGCACGCACGGGAAACCCGCCAGCCATCTCTAGCCGCGGACCCGCGGACGGCAGCACCTCGCGAGCAGTCAGCGCGCGGCCAACCACGGCCCCGGCCGCGGCGCTGCCCGCACTCACCCAGCAGGGAGCCCACGAAGATGACGAGCTGCGCGGCGGTGGCGAAGTGTCGGTATCCGGGCTCCCCGCCGCGCTCCGCGCCGCCCCAGGGCCCGGCCGCGCTGCCGTTGCCGCCGCCCCACGCCATCTGCGCCGCGGTCCCGTTCCTCGCCCCCAGGGCGACGGCGCGGAACAGGGCGGGCTCGCTGCCGTTCAGCGGAGCCCGACTCGCGCCGTGCCCCATGGCGAGGCGTCCGCCCCTCGCACCCTCCGAGCAGTTCAGCGAGCGAGCGGAGCGCGGAGGCGAAAACGCGGCGCTGCGGAGGGAGCCCCGGCTCTACTCCTCGGAGCCACCGTCACCGCGTTTCTGCGTCCCGGGAAGCAGGCCCGGTTTTTCGCGCTCCTGCCCTGCGAGTCGCTACGGCCATAAAAGAGAAGGGGGCCCCGCCGCGCCGTCCGCCGTCCCATGCTTCTCGCCTCGCGGTGTCCGGCGCCTCTCAGCGGGGAGCGCGGACGGGGAGAGTCCCAACGGCGGCTCCCCGCCAGCCCCGCCCGCTCACCACGCGCGGCGGCCGTCCGCGAAAGTTACGGGAACCTGCTCCCGGCCCCGGAGCGCTCCGCTCAGCCCCCGCGGCGGCGCCGTTCCGCAGCCCCGAGCGACGCGGCGCAGCTCTCTGCCCGTGGCCGGCCCGCCGCCGCCTTCATTCTGCCCGCGCTTTCGACGACGGGCGCGGCCCCGCGCGGCACGCGGTAGCCCGCGCCCGAAGCGCCGCGGCGCCGCTCCCGCCGTTCGCAGGGAATGTTTTTTGTTTGCGAGCTCCGAGGCGAGGAGCGCGCGAGTCTCTAAAGAACAAACGCAGCTCCGCACCAAACGCAGCCCGCATCAACACCTCGCCGGCGGTAGCCGGCGGCCGAGATCCCGCCTCCGCCGTGACGTGGCGCTGCGGAGCGGCCGGAGCTGCCATGTTGGGGGTAGAGCGGCGGACTGGGGGCAGCCGGCGCCTCGCGTGACGCGTTAGGCGCGGTGCGCCGCTTTCGACTCGGGGCTCCCGCAGAAAAATAAAACAGGAGAGGGCTGCCGCTGATGGGCCCTGCGGGCATTGCCAGCCGGGAACTAGGAGTAGCGGAATAGACCTGAATCAGGTTTTGCTTGGTACTGATGTCGCGATACAGCTGCAGACGCAGCAGTTACGAGTTGCGGTCCCAACCGGTACTGTGACACCTGGGTATGAATTAAAAAAAAAAACAAAAACAAAAACAAAAACAAGGGATGCATGTAAGCGAGTTTTTCAGCACAGGTGGAAACCCACAAAGGCTACTCTGCAGGGCACGTCCCTCCTGAGGCGGCCCGCTGACAGCAGACGCCCGTAAGAGCGAGAAGCGAGCAGGTACTGCTGCACTCCTGCTTGCTGCGTGCTGGTGCTTACGGATACGGCGGGGAGCGCAGCCGTGAGGACGGGGTTCCCGGCGCTGCGTGAGGCGTAAAGGCTACGAGCCAGGCTCGCACCCCACATGCAACTCCGCGGCTGCCGGCCCGCCTCACGCACACGCCCCACCGCCGGGGCCGCCGTTCCGGCCCCTCCTCCCGGGGGGTGCGGCCCGCACAGGGACGGCGCCGCCGGGAGCGTGGCAGCGTGGCGGGGCCGCCCGCCCGTGTTGGCCGCTTCCCGCTCGGGGGAGCTGACATGGCCCGGGCGAGCGACGCGCGGCAGCCGCCCGCGGAGGTGGCCGCGGAGCCACCGGAGAGCTACCAGCTGCGGCAGGAGAACGAGCTGCAGGCGCTGGAGTCCATCTACGGGCAGGACTTCCAGGATCTGCGGAGGAGCCGGGCCTGGAAGGTAGCGAGCGGCGCGCCGCGGCCGGGTGCTGAGGGCCGCCCTCCTGCGCTTCGCCGCTGGGCGCTCCTCGGCGCGCTTTGTCCGCGCGGGGTGCCGGGCGCCGGTGCCGCCGGGCGGGGCGAGGCCGTACGGAGCGGGGCCTGCTGTCCGCCCGCCGCCGCGCTTGTCCTCTGGGTTGACGCAGGCGTAATTAATGTTCTGCGTGTAACGTGCGTTTTAATTAATTGCCAGCTTAAGAAAAGCTGCCTTTGAATTCTTTTGTTGGCTAATTACAGGCTGCCTAACTCATCCCGTCGGCGCACATGTTGCTGAACTCTGTACGTGCGTTCTGTGCGGTGGCTCACTGGAACGGGGCTGTTTCCGTCACAACCTCTACTTTCACTCTATAGTATTGGCTTTTTTTCCAATTATTGCTAATTGCCCAAGTCTGCTGTGCAGTGCTTTCTTTTCATCTCCCTTCCATGCACACAATGTCTTCTTGCAATTTTTTTTTTCAGCTGCATCTGGTGGCACAGTTTTCCATAGCTGCAAGTACCACTCACTTATGTCACCTCCCCATAACTTCACTGCTGCCTTTGGCTTTGGTTCTTGCAGAACGTCATGGCTGATACTGTTTTTCCTGCTGGCCACGTGAAGCTAGAATTCTTGCAGAAACTTCTGACTTATTGGGGTGGTGGTGGCATTTGATGCTAGCAGTGCCTGTAACTTGCTGCATTTTCACAAACGTGCCTGCTCTCTCTCCTTACAAAATTTGTGTGTAACCTGTGCTTCTCCCGCTTGGAAATGCAAAGAAGAGGGGATACCGACAGTCTACTAACCTGTTCTCATATTTTTGTGATGTTATTTCCTTCTCTGTTCATCACACTGCTAAGATCTCTTCCCTTAAAAAAATACATTTTAATTGAGATGAAGAAGGTTGGAATGTTTACATAGACATGTTTTGTTGTTCTTTTTAAGGCAAACAGGCAGTTTCAAGGAAATGGTGGGAAGACTTGTTAAAATTTTAACGCCAAAAATAAAAAATGTAAATACAAAAACTTACTGTTCATTTGGCTGCACAAGATGCAGTTTCACTGTCTGTTGTCATGTTGGAAAAGTAAATGCTGACTGGTATTTGTTAATGATCTAAAATAAAAAAGAAGCCATTTCAGTTGTACACTGAATATGTTAACTTGTCATATTTCATAAGTAAGCTCTCCAGGTGCCCTAACTTTTTCTTGCAGAGGAGGATTCTCATATGAAACTTCCTTTCTGCTTAGTCTGACTCATCTTGTTGATAAGTGCTCTTATCCAAAGAAGTTCCCAAGTGTGTTGGATAAGCTGTTGTAACGAACCAGCTCTCTCATTGATCAGTGTCAACATTACTGTATTATTCTCACGGTTTGGGTGGTCTGACCTGAGTTCTGCTATAAAAATGGGTGGGAGACTTGTGTGCAGTAATTCCTGCTTTCATTATAGCAATAGAAACGAAAACAACGATGAAAAAACCCTTTTAAATCTAAAGCTTTGTTTTCTGCTATAGGTACGACAGCCTCCAGAAATCAATTTAGTTCTGCATCCTCAGGGATTGACTGGTGATGATGAGGTGTACGCCAAAGTTGATCTCTGGGTCAAGTGCCCGCATACTTACCCTGATACGTGAGTGAACATTCAGATAGAACCTTTTTTTTTTTTTCTCTGAGCATTTATTTGTTTTCACGTAGGTTGAAAAAACATGTAGTTACATTCATTGTTCTTATTCTTGCTTTCTTCATGTATTTGTTCAGGTTCTGCTATTTTTGAATAGGTAACTAATTCTTTCACCTGAATTGGATGTGGTTTCTTGTGCAATAAGGACAGGTGTGCCTGTCAGCATCTTAGTGCCCTTTGGAAACTTCTCCAGCCCTTGATCTGTTCTGCTTGGAGAAGGACTTACCTTTTATTTTTTAAACACTCTTTTGTCCCATTTGTATTTGATATTCGTGTTCTGAGCTTTTGGAAGAGCTCTCCACAGAGAATGTAAAAAGAATTGCTAGAAATCAGCACTTCCTGTGTTTTGGATTAGCAAATGTGTTTTGAGTGAAGTACTGCCCTGCAAGCACTGAGGAAAATGTTCTCCTCAGTCCCTGTGTCACTGGCTGTGTCCACAGCATTGCAGCCTTTAGCCCATCTGTTTGCTGTGGGCCCTGAGCAGCATACAGGGGAAGCACTATTTGCAGCCAGGCAGTGGATCAGATGTGCTGGGGAGCACAAGGCACAGCAGCCCCTCTTGTTTTATTTTTGTTTCTTTTTAGTTTAAGTTAGCATACTACGGATGTCTTACTTATTCCTGTTATTGCACCTTTCCTTTTAGTTTTTGTCACCTGTATAGTGGGGATAAATGAATTTCAGCCACCTCAGTGTTATGCTAGTAGCATCTGTAAAGCACTTTTATATGAATTACTAACAAAGATTGGAATTGTGAGAAACTGCAGGGGTTTCTTTGCAAGTTCTTCTGTTACATATAACTGACAAGTAATATGCAGCCAGAAGTTGATGAGTGTAAAATAATATCTCTGGCTTTATTCTGTGTTATATATTTAATATTTACCTACTGCTTGTTGACCACTAGTTGCCAAGTGATGATAAACTCCATTCCTTTTCCATCATTGATATTATTTTTTTTACCAGCCCTCTGTATCTCATATAGCTTTTTACACTCTCTCCACCTCTCTTCCTGTTCATTCCCCTTCCCTCCTCCTTTTACTTCCTTTTTTTTTCTTTATGAGGACCTTCTTTATGTTCTGTTGCTGTCTCCCAGTGTTCCTGAAATACAACTGAAAAATCCCAAAGGCTTGTCTAATGAGAAAATAAATGAGTTAAAATCCAGACTAGCTGAACTGGCAAAAGAGTGCTGTGGAGAGGTAAGAACTTTTCACATCCTTGAGAAATGCACCCTTGTCCTAAGTAGTACTAGCAAAATGTATCTGTAATATGAGGACATGCTTCCAGATTAGAAGTATGATTTACATCGTTGTGAAGAATGTTTCTATTAAATGAAAGTTCCAAGCATGAACTCTTCAGTCTCCTGTTGCAGTGGGTGGCAGCCCTGCCCATGGCAGGGGGATGGAAAAGGATGTTCCCTTCCAACCCCAGCCATTCTATGATAGTGCATATTTAAATAAGGTGGATAATGTAAGACCTTAGGTATTGGAGATGCAGTGGTCTGCTAGCGCTGTGCACTCCATGCTGTAACAGAGGAATGTTCCTGCATCAATGAAAGCCCAATTCCTGACAGATCGATCAGTCGTCAGTACATACCTAGCAAATCATGTGGCCCTTTCAGTGCAGCTCTTATTTTAGTTGTTGTAGCTTTATGAATGTGGAATGCCTTCAGTGGCTTTAGAGTTCTAGCTCTGGGGCTGGATTGTAGAAGGATTGGATTTCA